TGTTGGGCGAGTGGAGAACAAGTCAGATCCAGCTTCCGCCAGTCTCCCAGGGAAGGCGGACAATTACCCAGGCGTCCCAGGCAGCATGTAGACAGGAGGGCTGGGAGCAGGTGCCCTGGTCTTGGGCTCAGGGCTCCTTTTGGGTGTTCGTACCACACTCCTACGTGGGCCAGAACCCCAGGCCATCTAGCGCAGGTCAGGAACTGTAGTGACTGCGTGGGAAGAAAGGGCGTGGGGTCACCCGGAGGGGGCTGTGCGTGGGGATTGTTGCCTGTGTCTGGCCTCAGGCTGTGAAATACACTCAGGCGCAGCGCAGTAATATACCTGAACAGACTCTTGCTTCGAGGAAAAGCTGGGGCTAAAACAGGGAGAGGCCTTTTAGAGTCTGAGATGGGTGCTCCCCAAACAGCCCAGCCAGCCCCTCATCATCCAGGCCCCTGCAGACTCCACTCCTTCAGCCCTCAGCCCTCAGGGTGCCTCGTGGACCCCCAAGTAAGAGATGCACACTCAGCCACGCTCCCCACTCAGCCTCATCCCTCTCTGGACACGCTGGGAGGCACAGGCTGCTCAAGTTGCTGGACCTCTCCTAACCCAAAGGCTTGTAACAACATCTTTGCTTCAAGATAAAAGCTGTGGCTGAGGCCCCGGCTCAGACCAGATCTCACTCAGGCCCTTCCTGGAGTGAGCTAAATCACCTTCTTCTTCCACAGTCAGCGTCAGATGCTTCCAAAGTAGCGCTGCCTCCAGGAAAGCGGGGTCTTCCCAGAGCTGGAGCAATCCAGGGATTTCCCCCGGGGCATCCTCGACATACCCTGAGTCTTTCCAAATGCAGCGCACACAGAAGATTACGAGAGTTTGAGAATGATCGCTGTGCAACGAATACAGATACTGTTAAAGCCTGTAAGGAAAAGTGTGAAAGTCTCTCTCCCCCATGCAACGCCACTTCCCACACAGACGGGCACACACACAGATTTTAGATTGTGATTTCTCTCCGGCGTCTGACAGATTTTACAGTGTGCTAGGCACACGGGGGCATAGTGATATCAAACAAAGAAATTACAGTCTGGCCAGGGAAACAAGATTCGACTGCAGAAAAACTATACATGAAATTATATAAATATATGTATAGACACACACACCCATACACGTGTACCTACACAGAAAAGGTTCTACCCGAAAGGGTTGATAAATGGCTGACCTCAGAAAGATTGATTTCTGGGTCTTTTCTTTTTTCTGTGGTTTACATTTGACTTCTGCAGAAACTAGGACTCACATGAATTGACTGGAGAGCCCCACATACATAAGCAAGGAACAGTGGCAGCTGGGGCAGACCCGGGGGAAGGACGACTTGAACCCGGACTGGCAGGGGGTGGGGTGGGACTTGGAATAAATGTCAGAAGGTGGAACCAAGTTACTCCCGAGGAGGACAGGGGTTTGAGAGACGAGGAGGGATGGCCTGAGGGGGAGCAGACGGCACAGGCCCTGGCTTGGGTCAGCCTGGCTCTGATTCCAGCCATCTCAGGCCTCCGGGGCCTGTCCCCTCCCTTCACCCCAGGGAGACTCGGGCAGGAAAGGCTCCGTGAGATCACATCTGCGCAGTCTCCACACGGGGAGCTCCAGGCCGTGCTGGGCCTGGTAAGCCCACCGTTAGGCCCCCACGGGGCAACGTGGAGAACCGGCAACAGGCTGAGGCAGGTCTTCCCGACTCTGGAAAGTTCCCAGGGTGGGGTCCCCAGCTCAGCCTCTCCGGGACAGGTCCCCTGTCGCCCCTGCCTCTGCTCTTCACCTTGGGCCAGGACCAAGCGCTCAGGAAGGGGGAGCTCCCCCAGCAGTGCACACCCCCAAGGCACTCTCGGCCCCAGGGGCCGAGGTCGGAGAGGGGCCGGCCTGTAGGGGGCTGTTTTCTTAAACCCCACTCAGGGACATTTTTAGGGCTGTGGTTGCAACTGGGGAGTCTCCTCCCAGACTTACAATGGAACGGTCCTGAGCTGACCTCCGACTGGCTCTTTGCCACCAGGGTGGGCACGACTTCCAGCAACTCATCCTCTGGGGAAGACTTTAACAACAAATGAGTCAAAATTCCCGGCGATGCCTCAGAACTCAACCCAGAGTCCCCAGAAACTTGCCCAGGACCATGGGGGAGAAAAAAGGTGAAGAGCTGTTTGCAGAAGAAGAAAAAGTGCCTCGAGAGCAGTGGAATGAGAGGCTTGATTTCCCCTCTTCTGGCGTATTAGCTCTTCCCCTGGAGTCCCTGGCCATGGGGGGGGGGTCCCTGTCCCCAGGCTGATACCTGGTGCTGGGGATCCAGGCTCCCTGACAGGCCTTGCTTATTCCTGCATTTGTACCTGTGCTCATGCCCTCTTCTCCCAAAGTCCTTCTCACAGTCTCCCTAAAGGTTGTCTGCCCGCCTGCAAGGCTCAGCCCGACCACACTTCATCCAGGAAGGGTTCCTGCGCCTGCCAAGCCCACCCTTGCCTCTCGCCCGCGTCCTCTCCCTCTCCCCCCAGTACTCCCTTCATCTGATAAAGCAGCATGACCAAGCCTTCTGTGGTTGTGCGATAAACACACTGACTCGGTGGCTGTGCTTTGTGCAGTCTGGCTTGTGGCAGATTCCCCAGAGGGAAGACCCCGCTACACATCGCACTCAGCTCCGGCACCGCCCCCTTCCTCTGCTTCCAGCTCCCAACGGGGTGACTGCGGCTGGTCTTCTCTCCCCTGGGTTCATACAGCGAGTGCCACCTCAGGCCAGCAGACCCTGCCTCTCCAAAGTGGTATTTCTGTCCTCAGCCTCAGTATCTATCTTCTGTTTCTTTCAGAAATACTGCCTATTGCTTTTTAAAACTTTTTATTCCGGAAAAATCTCAAGCATTCACAAAAGTAGAGAGAATAGCATTGTGAAAGATCATGACGTAACTTCAACTGTTATCAATTCATACCCAATCTTGTTTCTTCTATATTTCCCCTCTCTCCCCCCGACCCCCAAAATAGATTATTTTGAGAGCAAAGCCCAAACGTCTTATTTCATCTGCCAATATTTCCATGTATCTCTAAAAGACAATGAGTCTTTTAAAAATATAACACAAAATCACCATAACTGAAGAAATATTAACAGCAATTCCCTAATATCGTATCCTAATGTTTAAATGTCCCACCTTGTTTTAGAAATGAATGTTTACAGATGGCATGTTGGCATCATTCCCCAATGTTGCATTGGGTTGATATGTCTCTTTGGTTTCTTTTGGTCTTCAGGTTTTCTCTCTCTCTGCACTTTATCTGATGAAGCAGCTGCTGGTTTGTCCTGCAGAGGTTTCCACACTCTGGGTTTTGTAGAGTGTATCCCTGTGGGTGATGAGGGACCTGCTCCTGTACTTCTTTTGAACTGGTAGGGAGCTCTAACGGCTGAATGAAATTCTGGTTCTAAATTTTGGCAAGAATGATTCATAGGTGGTGATGTGCATTTCTACAAGGACGTAGAGTTAGCAGCCGTGACGATGGCTGCATTGGCAGGCGGATTCTTAACCACTGTGCCACCAGGGAAGTCCACTTTCAGGATTCTTATTGATGCTCAAACTGTCCCAACGTTTGGTCAGTAGGAGCCTATTCAGATGGTTTCTTGGGAGGTCTCCCTCCGTAGTGCTTAATAGTTTTGTCATTTTCAGATATGACTAAATATTTTAGACTCATACATTTGCTGTCTCAGGCCTAGAAGGAGCCATTTCCCAATGAAGCATTTTTTCCCTTTTAATAGGAAATGGTATGTAGAGACCAAAGCCTCAGTGCTAATGAGTTTAAATAATCCCAGAATAAGCAACCCAAATTAAAAGCAGGGCCCCCTTTGGCACTATGTACAAGTGATAAACCCAAGGCAAAAGCATATTTGGGGCAATAAAAGGGGGTGGGCTGAGTCTGGGTCAATGTCTGGGGTCTCGGAGTGGTGGGTCAGCTGTGTGGGGCGGGCTTCATTCATGCAGAATGGCCACTAGCCCAAGAAGCCAGGCTGCAAAGCAGAAGGCCCAGCAGTAAGGAGATTCTCCTCATGCTACTGCAGCTCGGTGCCTGGAGCACATGAGCACTGTCTGAAAGAAGAGGAGGTCAAGGTTACTTACCGTTCCATCCAAAGGAGTCCGAGGGCCGGGGCTGTGAAAAGGTAAATGCCCAATTGCTGGAGACAGTGGATCTGTTTATTTAAAACAACCCTTCCTGGTGCACACTAAAACGGATGAGAATCCATTTGAAGGTGCCTTATTATACCCTATATCCACCAAGAATCTGTGCTTGATTGGACTAATTTTAGGCGGTATTTTACTTGCACAGATTTTCTCATCTATTATAGGCTTATAATATATCCAGTAAATGACAATATATTGGAAATACAGACCCAGTACATGCTGAGTGGGACACAGAGTCCGGAATTGATCTTAGGTTACTTTGGGTATCTGCTAACATGTAATAAATTATTTGGGGGCAGAAAAGACAGGTATTGGCAGATCCTGCGTTCTCCTGATACCTCTCTCTTTACTTTTTCCTGGTTCAGTTTAACTTTGTGCAAGACACATGATACGCGCTAATTCAATACCATGCCACACCCCACAGAGAGTCAGGGAATTCTGAAGCTAAGTTTCATTACCCGCTTAGAAGAGAACAGAACGATCAAAATGAAATGGAGTTTAGTCAACTGACCATGTTGAAGATACTCATGGTATCATAAGCAGTGTTCTCATATCATCACTTTGGAGAAACACCATTCATGAATGCTACAGGAGTACCTCACACACTGCTCAGCCAATCTATAGGAGACTGTCCAGTAGGAAAATGAGGTAATCATTTTGATGATCCAGAGTTCTGTTTAAACAATAAAAATGAGATTCTAGAATTCAAATCTAGTGTATGATTTTGTATCAACTGAATATCTCTTTGTATCTACATATAAAAAATTATCATGGGGGAGTTCCTTGGTGGCCTAGTGGTTAGGATTCCGGGCTCTCACTGCCGTGGCCCAGGTTCAATCCCTGGTCGGGGAACTGAGATCCCGCAAGCTGTGCAGTGTGGCCAAAAAAAAAAAAAAAAAAAATTATCATGGATCTAGAGATTATCATACTAAGTGAAGTAAGTCAGACAGAGAAAGACAAATATCATATGATGTTGCTTCTATGTAGAATCTAAAAAAATGATATAAATGAACTTATTTATAAAACAGAAATAGACCCACAGACACAGAAAACAAACTTATGGTTACCAAAGGGGAAAGAGGGAGGAGGGATAAATTAGGAGTTTGAGATGAACATCTATGCACTAATATATATAACATAGTTAACCAACAAGGTCCTTGTAACTGTACTCGATATTTTGTAATAACCTATCAGGGAAAAGAATCTGAAAAAGAATATATATATTGATATATACATATATATATAAAACTGAATCACTTTGCTGTACACCTGAAACTAACACAATGTAAATCAACTATACTCCAATAAAAAATATCAAATCAACTATATCTTCAATTAAAAATAAAATCAAAACAAAGAGGAGTATAGACAAACAGACTGTGGACAATGAAAATACGAACGATTTCAAAACTTAAGCTACAAAATCTAGCACTTACCAAATAAAACATTTTCAGATGAAAAAAGAAATTATCAAAGAAGAGGGATTTGCTGGATGATGATAGAGAGCTTAGCTGTTAAATATGATATAGAGCTTAGCTGTTAAATATGATAGCTACTAGCCATATGTGGCTACTTAAATTTAAATCAATTAAACTGAAATAAAATTTAAAATTCAGTTCCTTGGGGGCACCAGCCCCATTTAAAGTGCCCAGTAGGTACATTGCAGAAAGAAATGCCAGGTGTGAGGACCAAATACTCTGCTAGTGGTTTCAGTTTTTCTTTTCAAGTGTGTAGACATAAACTTGGAACATTTATGGTTTCCTTTCTCTGAGGTTGAAATGTTCTTTTAACTTTATTGCATAGCTATGTGAATCGGGGTCGTGAAAGACATACAGAAGAGTCTTTCCTGCTCAGAGGCTTTTGGGTAAAAATCACTGAAAGAAGAAAAGGAATCATCCTTTTAAAAAACTCAACACGCTGGGTTCAAAATCTGTTTCGTGTTTGTTATTTGAATTTATACGACGCTGACTAAACAACAAAAAAAGCTTCTTAACATTTTATTACTTTCCTGGCACATTAATACCTTTGGGGGGTGTTGTCTCTCAATCTCTTGTAACCACTGGTTCTGAAATAAACTTCAGAAACTGAAGAGGCCTGGGCAGAAGAGGAGATGAAATCAAAGCGGGGCCAGGATCAAAGGGGCAAACAGCTCTCGGATCTCAAGGTGAAAGCAGAGCCGGCGACTCCCCTCGGTTGCCTTTTCCTGGCTCTCCCTTTAATAAACACCCAGGGCTCCAGGGCCAGGCCTTAGGGCAGCCCAGAGGGGAAGAGAGTACTTAGCACTTGGAGAGGAAAGGCAGGCCTCTGTGATGTCTGGGGGAGTCAGTGACAGGAACCGTGGTGGGAAATGTGGAGGAAGCAGAACAGGATGGTGACCCCAGATGGCTCCATCCTCCCCAGCCTGGGCTGTTACAGAGCCAGTCTTGGCTCCAGAGGATAATGTTTTCTTTATGTGTCGTTTTTCTCCTGCGTTTTCACTTGTATTTACCAGCTCTCCCCCCATCATACAGGAAGCATCTCTGAAAACTGTCTTCTATTTCACCTTGCCCTTCCTTTGTGTCTATTTCAATAGGCGTTACTGACAGACCAAATATAAGTAATGGCCAAAAGCGCTCAGCAAATCAAGTGGTGAGGAGCAGAGCCCACGTGTTATGAGGGGGAATCAGACCCCTGACCTCAGTGATCCTTGTCTTCCGCTAACCCTGAACTTTGCTTTGCTATTCTGTAGCTGGTAAACTGACTTGCTTTGGTAGAAGAAAGTACTTTACAGAGCTTATGCAAAAGGTGCTTAAATTTCACAGATTATCTATTTGGGGAAAGAACTCGCAATAATTATTTTTTAAGATATTGACAAGGATCGGGCTCTTTCCATTTTGCATTTGGAGAAACAGGTATAGAAGAATGAACAAACGTTCGTTGTGCATTCGCAGCAGGGTAAGTGAGTCAGGAATCTAGAGCTTGGATTTAGTGAAAACCACTTACGATTTTTTAGGTGTTTGTCAGGCAAAAGAGAAGCAGAGAATAACTTCAGCGTGAATGTACTCCCTAGAGACCCCGCAGAGGCTTACAGATTGCTCACCTTAGTCAATGAAAAGCCCAAGAGAACTGGGAACACTGTTCCCACTGTGCAGTAACACCTCTTTTCAGATACATCACGTTGCATTCTTTGCTTCAGTTTTAAAAAATTAGTTTTTTTTTTTTAAATTCAGATTTTACCAGTTTTTCCACGAATGTTCTTTTTCCTTTTCCAAGGATCCAACTCAGAATACCACATTGCATTCAGTCATCAAGAAACTAGGTTTTAAAAATGAACTTATAACAATAATACAGGCACATAATTAAAAAATAATAAAGCACACCGAAGGGTATAAAACGAAGTCTCCAGCTATAACACTTCACTCCAAATTCCAACCCTGGGTTTCTACTGTCTCCTCAGCGAGGTTATTTTTTTAGGTATATGCAAGCACACACCATTAAAACTTCATTTTAGAGCGAAAGGAGGAGAGAAGGGGAAAGGATGAAATCTTATTTCAACATAGAGGATTATAATTCCACACAGACTCTCAGGAAAAGTCATAAGGAGATAATGCTCATTTAGTCAGTTTGGAGGATTATCAAGTTACAAATTGAGCACTGCAATTTCTTACCACCAGTTTAAAAGACAGAGAAAAGACTGTCTTACGTGTTTAGATTCCTTCATCAAATCGTCACCAGGCACTCCATTCGTGTCTGCAGGTCCATTTTCCTGGCAAAACTGCAAAACAGGCCGGTTTGGGGGGCCCCTTACAAGTGAGCAGATAGCAGCAGAGGAAAGAGGCTTGGACAAAGGACTTGGGGGGGGTATTTCCACACAGGCCGGAGAATGCTGATGACTCTTGACCCCTGGGCAGAGTTTCTGGGTTGCTGGGCCATCTGGCTCTTAAACCTCAGCTGGCAGCCAGCAGCCGGCAAACCTCTGCTTTCCTTGCGTGGTTGGCCTCCTGATCTCAGAGCGACAGCAGTGGAACTCGGGGTCTGCGTGGATCTGGCTCCATCACCTGTACCTATGACTGGGAACCCAATGGGCCCAATGTGCCTGGAAGAGAACAACCCCGAGTCTGGAGAGGGCCAGGGGGCTTCACCCTCCTCTGAGGCTGGCAGGGGAGCTCAGCAGGGCCCCCGGGGGTCATGTCTGGAGACCAGCTCGGCACAGTGCCTTTGGAGTCATTTGGGCCTCGTCTAGATTGTGGAGTGTTTCTTGATCTGTAAAACTGGGATAGGAATACCTACTTCATAGGTACATAAGTAAAGCACAGCCTAGTACAGTGACACTATAAAAATGTTTTTTGAATTAATGAATGAAGGAGCATAGTAAAATAAGAGGGTCTGACCTCCCATCCCATACATCCTCTGCCTAAAAACCCCAATGACCTGGCTAAGGAATAAGGGAGGAAGGGAGGAGAAGGGAGAAAGAGAAAGACGGGGTAAGGGGTGGGTGCAGATGTGAGAATGGTCAGACTGCCTACAAGAGCCTCGGGGGCTGCGCAAGGGCTCTGGGACACGGTCCCCGACCCTATCCCCTCTCCCCACAGGGAGAGAATCAAGCACAGGGCTCCTCTTTGCAGCTGCCCCAAGAATCCTTTTTGCTTTGACACCTGGAAAGTCCATCCAGGACGAAAGTATCCAAGGTCTTCCTGAGGCTGTCTTGTAGCATTCTAGAATGGATAGAGACAGGTGGGGACTGCAGCCTAAGAGACCCTCCCAACTCAGAGCCCTCTCTGAGTCAGTGACAGTAAATGGTCCTGGTGAAATCAGGGCTCAGGTTCTGGGAGCAAGAAGACCCAGGCCTTTGGGTTCCTCTCCTGAGGACGTGCACTCTGGTGGAGCAGTTCCCATACTGGACCATGAGTTTCTATAAAGTGAAATCAGTGGCATCCAATTCAACAGATGTTAATTGGTGCCTTATGCATAGCGCCTTATGCATAGTAGATGTACAAAGCAGACACTCAAGACTTGAACGAGAGAAGTGGTTCCTGTTAAGTCTTTACAATCTAGGAGGGGAAGCAGATACATAAACCGTAACCACAGTACCAATCTGGGTAAAACGGGAACCTTAAATGAGGACCAAAGGGCAGAGGCAAGAGAGAGTGGAAACTTGGTGGTGCCCCTTTCATCTCCTCCCTTCCAGCTCAGACGCGTCTTGAGCATTGTTGGCTATCTGCAGAAAGGCCAGATCAGGAGTCAATAAATGAGTCTAGAAAGGCACATTCTCAACCCTGCTGTGCCTAGGGTACCCTTATTCCTAGGCCTACAGGGACATTCCAGACAAAAGGTCTCCTCCCCTCCAAGGTGAGTTTACTGCCTCTCTTTAAGGTCTCTTTATCTGCACCCCCTTCTTCGGATTCAGGATTTGTTAGGGAGGCTTGCGGAGGACAGGGGCTGGGCTGTTTGACCAACCTGGTACAGGGTCTAGCACATAGCAGGGGGGGGTAAATAAATACCTTTGCTGACGACAGACGGGGCAGCGGGCAAAGGCTCACTGACCTGGCCATGCGAGAGGGAGGCGGCCCCCGGCCCTCGCCGCCCTGAGCGGGTGACCTGACCCCAGAGGAGGGCGGTTCCGCCCGCACTCCGCCCACGCACTCGAGGGGCCCCTGGCCGCCGCGCTCCTGGGGCAGACCTGCTCTGGGAGATGTGGATTGCGGTGGCGGTGGCGGGGCTGGCGGGGCGGATGAACGGGGGAGGGGTCGGAGGGGGCCCAGGCCCAAGTTCACGCCTTCCTCCCTCCATCCCACGGGCAGCGGAAGCGATTATTCCCCACCGGCGTCTGGCGGGGCGGGGGGCGGGCTCGCACCCCGAAGAGACACGGGCCTCCCCGCGTCCACCCCTTTGATCGCGCCGCCACACCGGGCCCCCTCCCTCAGCCCCGGGGCCGGTATAACTAGAGGCCGTGCCCCTCCCGGCGGCGCACTGGGGTCCGGCAGCGATGGCCGCAGCTGAGCCCAGCCAGCTCCAGTTCGGGGAGACCGCCGCGCCCCCCGCCTACCGGCCCGCCCACCCCGGCGGGGCGTTCCTGCCGCCCCCGAACCCCGCGGCTGCTCTGCTCCCCGCGCGTCCCTCGGGCCCCGGTCCGGAGCGCGGCGCCCCGGTGGCCTTCGCCGGTTTTCTCGGTAGGGGTCCCGGGCCCGCGGCGCCGCCCTCCGCCGCCCTGGGCCCGCCTGCGCCCCCTAAAGGCGCGGCCGTCCCGTCGGCGTCGCAGCGCCGAAAGCGCACGTCGTTCAGACCCGAGCAGCTGCAGCTGCTGGAGCTCGTCTTCCGCCGGACCATGTACCCCGACATCCACCTGCGTGAGCGCCTGGCCGCGCTCACTTTGCTCCCGGAGTCCAGGATCCAGGTGAGCGGCCGCGGCGGGCCGGCACGTTCGCCGGTGCCACTTGCTTGACGTTGGGCAAGTTCCTTCCCTTGAGCCTCGGTGTCCTAGGCTGTAAAACCAGTACTTGCCTACGGTGATTGTGAGGCTTAAATGAAATAATTCAGCTGCACGCTCAATGACTTCTGCCTCTCATTGCTGAGGATAATAAGGGCCCCTCCGAGGAGGCTAGCTGGTCTCTTTGAAATGGTCAGAAAGTAAATCCTCAGCAGGAAGGTAATAGGAAGTATTTTCACACTTTTTCCTTATCCAGGAAGAAGGGACAGATGAGGCACAGTTGGTGTTTCCTCCTGCTGGCTCACCAAGTTGCCCCCTGGGCCCCTAGGCCACTTTCTTGGCAGGTATTCGGTCTGCAATGTGGGTTGTAAAGGATGTAACGTCTTGGGGTAAAGCCTGAAGCATGTGGAGCTTCTCGTCAGAGTTTGAAAAATCTAGCGCCAGGTGCGTTTGTTGCCTAAAGTAATAAAGACAGGTTCTTCGGTATTTGTGGGGAAATAGTGAGCTGAAAAATTTATTCATATAAGTGAATTAAGTCCACTGAGCAAAATGCCTCCTTAAATAATTTGACAAGGGAGTACACTTTCAAAACCTAATATTCTGGGGCTTCCCTGGTGGGGCGGTGGTTGAGAGTCTGCCTGCCGATGCAGAGGACACGGGTTCGTGCCCCGGTCTGGGAAGATCCCACATGCTGCGGAGTGGCTGGGCCCGTGAGCCATGGCCGCTGAGCCTGCGCGTCCGGGCCTGTGCTCCGCAACGGGAGAGGCCACAACAGTGAGAGGCCCGCGTACCGCTAAAGAAAAAAAACAAAAAACCCCCTAATTTTCCAAATTCTTTTAAGGGCTATCATCTTTAAGCATAGTAGCATTTTTTCCTAAAATTCTTAAGTGCTGCTATTTCTGTGGCCTCATTTTTCATTGCAGATGTCCCTATATAAAGTATAGCTAGAACTAGGTATTATTCCAATTTTGCATCTGGGAATGGTGAGGCCGAGAAAGCTAGGTGCTCTGATTTGTGAAGTGTTCTGTGAAAACCATAAGGTTCGGGAGCAGGGAGCCAGGGCATGTTAAACTGGAATTTATAATGAACTATGAAGGTGTAATAGTAGCATGAGGACTCCAAGCAAAAGCAGTTTCTCTCTCCCCCCTTCCAGGTGTGGTTCCAGAACAGGCGCGCCAAGTCGCGTCGTCAGAGCGGGAAATCCTTTCAGCCTTCAGCCAGGCCAGAGCTCTTCCTCCATCACTCTGCTTGTGAAACTGAAGCAGAATATTTGAAGCCCCAGCTGCCTCTGGAGGTAGATGTGAACTGCCTGCCGGATCCCAACAAGGTTGGAGGAGACATCTCCAACCCTAGCTCCCAAGCTCAGAATTTTGAAACCTATTCTCCTCTCTGTGAAGACATTGGTTCAAAGCTGGACTCATGGGAGGAACACATCTTTTCTGCCTTTGGTAACTCTTGAGGAGTCTGGGAGAATTCAGGATAAGTTCAGAGGAACCATGACTGACAGCCAGGGAGACACACATCAGAATACCATCCTTTCTGGCTTCCATGTTAAGGACTCATCCATGTTAACCTTGGTAATGGTTTTGGGTCATCTCTCACCTGTGAAGCTTCTTCCCCTTTTGCCCATGAACTTTTGCCCATGGCCTGTTCGTTCTTTATAGTACACCCCCCCTAGGAGTTCTGGCATTTTTTACCAGTGCATCTCCAAATCTGCACTTTCATTTTGGTCTGCATACCTGCTCTTTCCTACCAGTCCTGTTGGTATTTTTTTGAACTAGTTTTTCAGAACTATCTTCACAAGAACGCCTTGGTTCAACTCAGTTTCCCCTTGTGCTTAACAGCTGCTGTCTTCATATGGCTCCTCCAAGGCTTATACCCGTAGACTCATGTTAACCCAGCTCCTTCAATCCTCATCCTATCATCAAGATTTACTACTTTTTAAATTTGGCCTGACATCTTTATGCTCATTCGTAGCTCCGGTGATTCTGCAAGAGCCCCCTGCCTCAAGTTTCTCAGCTTTTAAAAAACTACTCTAGAAATCTGTAGTAGCCTCCAACTGCTACCAAATTATAAAAACGTTTTGGTTACCCTTCCGGATAACGGACATTGATAGCCTACAGGACCATTATGCGCATCTTCTTAGAGTCACCCATCCACGATATATATATGCCTCTGTCTCAAAGCCACTCCTTTCAGTTTTAGAACCAAATGAATAACCTGTGTCTTTCAAAACACTCTAGACCTCCCTCCTTCTGAAGGCTGTAACTTTCTCTAATCCTCATTTTGTACCTGTTACTTCAATCACTGCAGCATTACCCTTAGCACTTGTTATTGTACTTCTGTGCAACTTCAGTTTATTATTATTAAATGTTTTCCACAAATGTTTCATTGTAATTCTATTTAAATGAGTTCTGTCCTTCAGGTAGCACTTAGTACAGCGCTTCACTCCATAACTGCTCAGTACATATTTTGTGGTCATGAGAAACATTTCTAAAAGAAAAGTTTCTGCAAATGTAGTTTATAAAGCCAGAAATCATGGTATCATCAGGCCACTGTGCTGAGGAGTTTAACTTGGTTAAAAGTCTATCCAGCTTGTTCAAAGTTTAGTAACATGAGTCTTCTGGTTTCAGGAGATTTCTCTTTCCCAATTTATGATAAGAATGTATGTAAATTACTAAGTTAGCCCAGGATAAATTATTGCTTCGAGGTTTTGAGGGTTTTCAAACTCCTAAGGACAAAAGGAAACTGTTTGTATATGAGGTAATCATAGGTGAGGTTTCTCTGTAAACTGTGCTTTGGAGGCAGCTCATGAGAAGCCATGGCTGGGGCCAGGACTCAGGTTTGTCTTTTGTGTTTTTTTTTTGTAATGGATTTTTTTTTTCTTTTGGCTATGCCACGCGACTTGCAGGATCTTAGTTCCCCGAACAGGGATTGAACCCGGGCCCTTGGCAGTGAAAGTGTGGAGTCCTAACCACCGGACCGCCAGGGAATTCCCCAGGACTCAGGTCTTGATGATTCCTAGAAGAATCAGAGCTATGCTGAATGTCTCAGAGATCGTACATGCCAGTTACCCTGATTTTCATAGAGGTGTTAAATGGCTTGCACTTTTCAGAGTAGCAAATCCACTATTAAAAGCAACCAGGACATGGGCTTCCCTGGTGGCGCAGTGGTTGAGAGTCCGCCTGCTGATGCGGGGGACACGGGTTCGTGCCCTGGTCTGGGAAGATCCCACATGCCGCGGAGCGGCTGGGCCCGTGAGCCATGGCCGCTGAGCTTGTGCGTCCGGAGCCTGTGCTCCGCAACGGGAGAGTCCACAACAGAGGCCCACGTACCGCAAAAAAAAAAAAAAAAAAAAGCAACCAGGACATAGTTCAGGCTTTAGTAGCAGACTTGCCTTCTGAACCCTTAGAAGCTGTCTGAAACCAAAAATGAAATGATAAACATTAGCTCTTACCATTTTTAGTGCTTGTTATGTGCCAAACATCGTGCTCGGGGCCTGCCCCCGGGGTGGCCAGGAAGTCTCACAATCACAGAGCCCTTCCTTTGCATTTAGACTTGTGACAAGGCCAAATGAGACGACATAAATACATTCACAACTGAGAGACATACAATAATTAACTTACAGTCCCCTGCTGGGGAGAGACGCTCGCTGGGGGAAGCGCAGGGCAGGGGCCCCGTCCTCCCCAAAGCTTGGGTCTGCAGCCAAGTGGGTGCGCGTCGCCTCCTGTCCATGTCTGTTTCCCCACTTGTACCAGAAAATACTACAGTACTGCACCATCTCTGGATGGCTGAATCTGAAGCTGTGGAACCACAGACAAGGAGGAACTACATATAGGAGGGATGACTGTGAAGTTACACAGCGATTTCCCATGGCAGGGAGGGTTGGCCCCTAAACGCCCTCCCCACACCATGTTCAAGGGTCAACTGTGTATCAGACTTTTCCATTATTGTTAGCACGTTGTGCATCCAGTTGAAGACATCTTTCCTGCTCCTGGATTATAAAGGTATTTTCCTGGGTTGTCGTCCTACAGTGGCCTTTCCCGTTTAGGCTTTCAGTCCACCTGGACTTGGACTTGACTTCTGAATATGGTGTGAGGTGGGGGGCAAGTCTCATTTGTCTGTCTGTCAAACTGTCCCAGCACCAGATTAACTTTTCAGTTACATCAGCAACTAATTGCTTTATTTTAAAAAGTAATAGAAAAAAAAAAGTAATAGAAACACTCCTACTAAAGTTAGTGAAGTACAAACCACTTCTTTCTTATCTATAGGCAATGTGAAGATTTTTGTTGTTTTTTTTGTTGTTAGGGAAAGAAACCATTATAAAAAAACATTTACACTACTTTATTTCACTTAAACATTCGTGTGTCAGGATATTTTTATTTCATCATAAATGATTACTTAAATCACTGGCATAAACATTCCTGAATTTTGAATCACTTTAATTATAAATACTTTATTTATAATTTTAATTTATAAATTATAAATTTATAAATTTAATTATAAATACTTTAATTATAAATACTAAATATAAATTTTAAAAAGCTAGAAAGACAATTTCAACACATTTTACATGAAAAATTTAAAACATTTGGTCTTTATTTTCTTTCCGTTCTTACTTTTCCTGGATGTTCTCAAATAAAGATAAGCAAATGACTTTAAAAAAACCAAAACTTGCAGTCCACTAAGGATCACATTTAAAGGAAACATGGTAATTAGCTTATTAACTTTATCATTGCATTTACGTTGTGTTATGTTCTGCTTTCCCCAGTGAAGAGTTTAGAAAATCTACAAATATTTAAATATTGCCACAATTTTTAATGTGGGATCCTCTAAGAACAGTGATTTGTACCCCTCTCAAGCTCTTAGGAGACCCTAACTGCTAAATGTATCTATTATAGGCACTATATGTTTATTCCTCACAACTGCCATATAAGGTAGGGACTATTATTGTTTTAAAGACTACGAATTTTAAGTAGTGGTTGACAAATCACACAGCTAATAAATGACGGCCTGGACATAAATCTAGGACTAACTCAGTCCACCATTTTATTCACCACCATATAATGCCTGCTGTATTGGCCTGGCCTTTTTAGTTAGGACTAATGATAACGTGACAGGTTTAAAGGCAACTCCTTAAGCAGAATTTGTACACCCAAGTGAGTACTGTCTCATCTTTCAAAGCAATCATCATGGAGAACGATACTTTTACTCCAGTGACACTAATGTTGCTTAGAGCTCTTTTGAGACTCTTATTTGTTCATTTGTTCCACAGATATTTGGTGCCTACAAAAGGTACTTTATCAGGGCCTGGAAGTAAAATGGTAAGCAAAACCAGCAACGGTCCCTCCCCTCATGGACCAAAGAGGCTAGTATGGAGACAAAAGAAGAAATATAAAATTGCAAATGTGACAAAGTGCTGGAAGGAGGGGTACACGAAGACCTGTAGATGATGTGTTGTGGTCAAATAAAGCTTCCCTAAGAAAGTGATGCTGAAGGTAAGATCTGTAGGATGATCAGGAGTTACCAAGGTAAACGAAGAGGGAACACAGAGGTCACTGAGTGTGCAAAGGTCCTGTGGAGTAAGGAGCAGGATGGAGAAATTGTAGGGGAGGCTAGATCATGCCTGGCTGTGTAGGTCTTGTAAGAGAGTTCTGAAATTGTCCCGACAGCCATTAAGACTTCAGATGGGGATAACGTGACCAGTCCTGTGTTCTAAGAGTATCGCTCTGGCTGCATCTGAGGAGAGCTGAGTGGATACCGGGAGATAAGTCAGGAAATGACTGCTGTGTTCCAGGCTAGTGATGATGGCAGCTTGGCTAAGAGTACTGGTGATAGTGTAGATGAAGAGAAGTGCATGAATTCAAGGGAAAAAAATTTTTAATTGGCAAGTTTTTTGTAGATTCTCAACGGTAGCAAGTGAATCTGATTTTAGGAACTAACAGTAATTCAGAACCAAATCTGCGTTAACACCTGATGTGCTTGCTTGCTCACTCAATCTGGCTTTGATAGTTTTCTTTGGAGCTCCAAAAATGTGTTAGGCAGTGGCAGCATCATTTAAATGAATGTACAGCTGACCCCAAATGACTACTTTGAATTATATAGATTTCTTCTTCCTTACATAAAAATAAAATTCAAATATATTCTTAGGCACAGTTCTTGCCATCAACACATGATGGCACTGAAGACACGGACAATGCTTAATTAAATATGTGCAAAATCATATATAATTTATTTTATTATTTTTTTAACATCTTTATTGGAGTATAATTGCTTTACAATGACGAGGTATAATTTAAGTGTGACAAGTTAGCCTTAAGAAATGTAAAAGAAAAAATGTAAAAAATGCTTACCTAAGTCTAGGCAGAATATATTAAAAAATAAACCCTTGGGCTTCCCTGGTGGCGCAGTGGCTGAGAGTCTGCCTGCCGATGCAGGGGACACGGGTTCGTGCCCCGGTCCGGGAAGATCCCACGTGCCGCAGAGCGGCTGGGCCCGTAAGCCATGGCCACTGAGCCTGTGCGTCCGGAGCCTGTGCTCCGCAACGGGAGAGGCCACAACGGTGAGAGGCCCGTGTACCGCAAAAAAATAAAAATAAAAATAAAAATAAACCCTTCTCTAGGTCTATATAGTAAGCCAAGTAACTTACTTGCTTAGTGTTTTCCACAGTGATGGGAAAAAAAACCCTAATGATATTTTAATTCAAAATGACTTGGTAATTAATCTGTACCGTTTTTCCTAAAAATATAATTTAGTGGAAATGATAATTTTTAAAAACTTTTTAAATGGAATACTTATCAACTTGTATTAATTAAATGAAAATGTAGATCATATTAATTTTCATAGATCAATTTATTTAGAATTACAAATATTAAGAATAAAAGATTTATGCATTTCTTAATTAACATAACAGTTTAGCTAAATATAAACTCTGCACTAAAGTTCTGCAGTGGCACAATACCAACAAAGAATATGGAAGCATTTTTAAACTATACAAAAATTTCAAATGGAAAATAATCTTGT